AGATTCACGGCCCTATTTAAACCCAGCTCAAACGCCCACTAGTTGCTGGTTTGTCTTTCCAGTTTGTGTGTGTTCCGTGTATCCTGTTTTGCCTGATCCTGTATTCTCCTGATCTCCCTGGATTGTGACTCGTTCCTGTTTTGCCGACTATCCTCGCTTGCTGCCTGCCTTATTGACCTGGGACTGTTTTCTGGATATTCTTCTGCCTGCTCCCTTCTGTACCGCATCGGATCTCCTGGCTATTGACCCCGGCTTGTTTTGACATCGATTACTGGATCTACCAAAAGCCCTCGTGCCACTCATTGTCTGCCTGGCCTTCGTCCCCAATCTCAAAGGCCACAAGACTCGAGGTGCAAGTGGAGCCTCCTCATACCTTCGCTCTCAACACCAGGTACCTAATACCAGTGCTCCGATACCTTCCCCGATACCAGAACTACCGGTCAGGAGAAGATTTCCTCTGACCGGCAGTGCCGTAGGGGAACAGAGTGCCAAGTTCCCGTGCAATCAGAAAGCTGGGTGGCGAGTTATGACCAGCCTCCCAGCTTCCAGATTGGAAGCTGCATTCTCAGACAATCAGCATTGAGTCGGCCAAACAGCCAGCTCCATGCTGATTGGCTGGGAAGCCGGCATCCCGGCCAATCAACATCGAGAGGGGTAAACAGCCGGCTCTTTGCTGATTGGCCGGGAAGCCAGCTTCCCAGCTATTCAGCATCGAGCCGGTTTCCCGGCGAATCAGGAAGCCGGGAGGCGGGTCATTACTCGCCACCCAGCTTCCGAATTGGCTGGGAGACCCACGTCTCAGCCAAGCAGAATCAAGCCGGCCAGACAGCATGGAGCCAGATTCTCGGGCAATCAGATTGTACTCGATGGTATCGGTGCATCCCTATTTTGACCTCTGCTTGGGTCCAGCACTTCACCAGCACGCCTTTTGAACCTTTATCAAAATGTCCCAACAAAGGAAAGCCTGTAAAAGATAAATGTAAATACACTTCCTGCCCCCCCCCCCCCCCCCCCCCTCTTCTAACATACCCCCTCCCCCACTGCTTAATGCCGTTCTGATCCAAAGTTGCCACACACACCCTCCAGTTCTATTTGGTTCCTCCTTAGTGAATTAGGTGGAGGTCAGAAGGAGGAACTAGTTAGAGCTGGTGGTGTTTGGACCCAAGAGGTAGACACTCCTGGAATTGTCATTTTTCCAGAAGAGTTCTGCAGGTCATGTCTCAGGATCAGAGTGGCGTTCAGAAGAACGGGGAGCAAGAAAGGTATTCATGCCCATTTCACTGCTAAGACCAGACGGGAGACAAGGGACCAACCTCCTAAATCCCAAAATCCAGGCTCCAAGCTCAACCCCACATACCCCCATCTCCCTAAAGCCCCCTCCCCCAGCAAGTATTCAAGTATTTTATATATACCTATCCTGTTCTAGGTGTCCATAAGGTGGTCACATGGCATACAGGGTCCTCTGCCTCTTTGCTTCTTCTCCAGCACTAGGAGGTCCTCAATGATGCAGAGGTGGTGCTGTGATGACATTATCACACCCTGGTGGGCCCATGACATCTGCACTCACAGTATGCCCTCAATGTACCAGCTTCAAGGCTGCTGGGCAACATTCATCCCGGCAGACTGAGGACATCTAGTGGTGAAAATGAACTACTTCGGGGGCAGCACCAGAGTGAAGCTGAGTATTAGAGCTTTTTATCATTTTGAAACCTCATAGGGGGACATTAAAAAAATAGACCGGAGTGGGGCTTTAGAATAGATGTAAACCCTAGTTGGGTAACATTGATTGCTGGGGCACTGTGTGCTATAAAGCGGCCTTTCTCAACCTGGGGTGCCTCTTGGCTTCTTCAGGGGTGCCTCAAAATTCTTGCACAACATCATGCCTTTCCATGGTGCGGGTAGGCTTTTGATGTGAAGGGGCCTCCTTATGTGAAGGGGGGGGGGGAGCTCTGTTGTAAAGGTGGGACTCTGATATTAAGGAGGGCTTCTGATATGAAAGAAGGGGGCTCTGATGTGAATTTGGAGCTCCTAGCATGAGAAGGGGGGACTTAAATGTGGAAGGAGGGGGCTTCTGATGTAAAGGGGGGGACTCTAATGTGAAAGGGGG